CAGCATGTTTTGCAGAAATAAAATTCTGGGCAGTTTCACTGCTTCTCTTCATAAGGGCAAAAGAGAGCCTGACAAGAACCAGCTAGCTGGGCTTCCAGGCCCCGGGAAGCGCGGCCAGAGCTGTGCAGACCGTGTTGGTCTTTATTAGACATGACTGACCCTGGAAGTGCCAGCTGGTGAAGCTATGTGAAGAGCTGGTACATTGCCCATCAGTGTAGTATCGAAACACCTTAACCATGGTAAAGAAGATCGTGCTCTGCTCTGCAATGTTTGTTTCCCTCCAAAAGCTTCTCCAGCCATCCAGAGCTCAGCTCTTCAGGACTGTTGTTCTTCCACAAGAATAAACACTCTCTGAGGGGATTTAACAAGCGCTGGGCCGGTCTGAGGAGATGTTTTGTCACCTCTGTAGTTGAGAGCACAGAGCTAGTCCCGGGTAGCCTGCAAGGCTCCTGCCAGGCACCACAAACTGTTCAGCAGCACCACTGCAACCCAATGACTTTGCGAAAACACAGGAGTGGCCGCGTAGCTGAGAAGAGGCTCTGCCTCCTCGCTGTCGCTCGCTGCTCCCTTGCAGCATGCTGAGGGTTCACTCCAGTACCTCGGCACGGCCTCCAACGCCGTGGGACAGAGCACAGAGGGTGATACACAGCAGGGCAGCAGGAGGGGACTGATCTTAAGCCCTCTTTGAACAAACCTATTTTCCGCCTCCTCGGCCTGGCTCCCAGCAGATGGAATACTAGCACGTCCGGTGCTGTAGTATCCTCCGGGCTGCCTGATCTTCCTTATGTCTTCTCCCTCCTTGATGCTCTTGTCTCCCGGATGCCGCAGGGCTGTTGGCAAAGTGCACAGAGAAAAGAGTCATGCCTCGCACTGGGATCCCGAGTGCCCTTGCAGCTCAGACGTTGTGGGCGCAGCAGTCTGCAGCTCAGCCACAGTCACGTCTGTTCCTGGCCATGGACGCGATGATCCTGACCACGGCCCGACTTCCTAGCTTGACCTTGAACCTGCCCCATCGCCTCGTGAGTCTCGGTTGGACCTGGCTACCATCCCCGGGGCAACGGGAGAGGGCCCTGGCTGATCTGCAGCACTCTGATATCTCAGCCCTGCTCTGGCCCTGCTGATGGTATTGCTGATCCTAACCGACAGCCTCTGCCACGGCCCGCCGAGGGCTGCAAACGTGCTCTATCGGCAGGGGCGGCTGACATTAGTCAGGCTTCTGGGCTTGGGAAGACACAAACTTGTCAGATTTAGTGCGTTCACGTCAGGCCCTTGGTCTCTGCTTTACCTTTCTGCAGCGTTGCCTCGGTGATGTGAACATTGCGCTCTTTACACAGCTTGGAGCTCTTCAGGTAGCTCATGGCGGCATTGCTGCGATATCGGTCAAGCAGTTCTCCAAAGTCACCCTCTACAGTTGACAGCAGGCAGTGCTTGTCAAAGGGGCCATCCCCAGATCTCACCAGCCAGCACTTCTCTTTCTGTTCTGTCGGGCTGTAGTTGTTCTGCAAGTAAAGGGCAGGTCCCCATTGGCATTCAGCGGGGCCCTGGAGTGGCTGCGTTCCCTTCAGAGAAGCTACAGGCAGGGATTCGTCTCAGAAGTGTGTGCCAGCAGGAGTCGGCACCCTGCAATGGGGTCACAGGGACGGGCGCTCCTCTGGGAGTTCCATTCCCATCCAGAGCTGGGTCCTCAGACAGATACTCGCTGGAGGGCTGAGCAGAAGAGCAGCACAGCGGGCACAGGTGCCTTGGATGAAAAAAGTCTTGCAGTCACCTTCTTGTTCCTGATTGTGTCAGGGAGCCAGAGGCTCTCCCCGTTGCCGGTGACTGTGGGGCAGCACGTTGGCAAGAGGAGGTAGCGCTGCATTCTGCCAGGGTTCGTCTAAGCCAAGATGCTCCAGAGGAACCATTTGGGAGTGAGTGAATGAGTTACATTTCCATTGGAGCATCCTGCTCGGAGCCTGACAACTGAATGGGTCAAAGTGCTTCTCAGCACCTCGAGGGATAAATCACAGTCTGGTGGACACGTCGACTAGATGGTCAGAAGACAACTCTGTCCCCAGACACAGGAACGGCTTCAACTCCTCCAGCTCCTCCTCCTCCAACTCCTCCAACTCCAACTCCAACTCCAACTCCTCCTCCTCCTCCTCCTCCAACGCCTCCTCCTCCAACTCCTCCTCCTCCTTAAAGTGTGTCTCTCCCCAGAGTGTTCAGAAGCCAAACAAATGGTTGGAGACAGCTTGTAGCACCTCAGCTGCAAGGCACCAGCTGGTCCAGGGACTGCTGAGAAGCTAATACCCACAATAACCCCTTGCCCTTTCCCGCACCGCTGCACCATCCTCCAAACCACCCCGCATTCGCCAAGGCATGCAGGTGCACTTGTTCTCCTGCCACATACACAGTACCTTCGCCCAATTAAAATTTGATACGGAGCGTAACGAGCTCTGGCGTAAAGCTCGAGCTATTGGGGTGCCGTGGCATCTACTGATTGGTATATCCACGACTGAGCTAAAAATTCTCTTACAGTAATTAAGCCATAAGCTTAATTCAACAAAGACAGGTCAGCCGGCAGAAAACAAAGCAACTCCTGTTAACACTGCACCCTCCGCCCCACAGCAGGAGCTGATTGATCTGACAGACCCTCAGGCAAAAAGCGCCTGTCCCCGGGGAGGGCTGTGAGCCTCCCTCCCCGGCGGGTGCCAGCTATGCAGTGGCTCTCCGATACACCTCCCGAGCCTGCCATTGCCATCCCGGTGGGACCAAAGAAAGTTTTTGTAAATTTTGTCATTGATACGAGTGATCAAATTTCGGTAATCACCAAGGAGACTGCAACATGCTTAAATGTAAAACCTGGTCGCCGTAAAGTAAAATTTACAGGCATTGATGGAGTCATAAGGAAATGCCCTACAGCAAAAATTACCCTGTGGCTCCCGGGTGAACAAAGATTAACCCGCACTGAAGTACTGGTCGGTGCTGCTAACACTAATATTTTGGGATTTGATTTGTTGTATGGCAGAGTGTGGAAACTCCCTGATGGTTCAGTTTGGAGTTTTGCTGGGCGAGAAATTAAACAGAATGAGCCTAAAAAAATTAATTTATTAGAAATGTCCATATCTTTACCACCATCAAAAATTAC